TTACTCTGTCAGTGATTTCTTTTGCGGTGCAAAAGCTTTTTAATAAGATGAGATCCCAGTTGTTGATTCTTTGTGATAGTTCCTGTGTGATCAGTGTTTTATTCATAAAGTCTTTGCCTACACCTATGCCTTCCAGAGTTCTACCTAGTCTAATTTCCAGAAAATTTAGTGTTTTTGTTTTAATATTTAGATCTTTGACTCATTTTGATTCTAGCTTAGTGCATAGTGATGGACATGAGTCTTCTGAAAACTTTACAGACAGCAATTAGACATGAGAAAGAAATAAAAGGAATAAAGACAGAGAAAAAAGAAGTTAAATTATTGTTATTTGCAGATGGCATGACACCCAATATAAAAACTTCACCAACAGACTTCTAGATTTAATAACCAAATTCAGGAGCATACCTGGATACAAAGTCTGCACTCAAAAATCAATAGCATTCCTATACACATATAACAAACTCACTGAAAGAGTAATTAGAGAAACAATACCTTTCACATAGCATCAAAAAAAGAAGTACTTAGAAATCAACTAATCAAAGGAAGTAAATGATCTCTACATTGAAAACTACAGTACTTTGAAAAAGGAGATTGAAGAGGATATCAGTAAATGGAAAGATATCCTTTGTTCTTAGGTAGGAAGAACCAATATATTGAAAATGTTCATACTTCCAAAACTATTACACAGATTTAATGCAATCCCGATTAAAATACCATTAGCATAGCACATAGAACTAAAATAAGCCTTTCCTCCTTGTAAGTTGATTATCCAGGGTATTTGGCTTGTCACAGAGAGCTGACCAATACATATACCTGCCCTCTGATTCACTCATCTATTCCTAGAAATTAACTGAAAAGGAATAAAAACTATGTCCATGGCAATACAGGAAAAAAATGAGTATATGTAAAGCATCACACTTATCTGTCAATAAAGAATGGATTAACAAATTTGTATTCAAGCAATAGTTTTGCTAAGAAAAGAAATGTCACAAAATGGAGCTAAGTCCTAAAAATTTTATGATGGGTGAAAGAAGCCCAGCTCACTGCCCTCAGCCTTGTGTATCTGTCCAAGTGCTCCCCTCTCATACAGACACAAGCACAAACACGCTCAGCCACCCAATCTTTGATAAAGGGGCCAATCAAACTCATTGGGTTGAACGATCGCCTCTTTAATAAATGGTGCTGGAAAAATTGGCTTGCCACCTCCCAAAGACTGAAAATAGACCCAAGTCTATCACCGTGCACCAAACTCAAGTCAGAATAGATCACAGATCTCAATATTAAACCAGAAACACTAAATCTATTGGAAGAGAAAGTAGGTAAAAAACTTGAAGACATAGGGGTAGGCAGAGAGTTCATGAACAAAAACCAAATTGCACATGAAATACTTCAAAGAATCAAGAACTGGGATCTCATCCTACTGAGAAGTTTCTGCACATCTAAAGAAATCACCAGCAGAGTAGAAAACCCACAAATTGAGAAAAAATTTTAGCTGACTGTCCCTCAGACAAAGATCTTCTATCTAAGCATACAAAGAATTAAAAAACATCAGCACCCCCAAATTCAAAGACCCAGTACCAAAATGGGCAGCTGAGATGAATACACATTTCTCAGATAAAGAAATACAAATGGCAAATAAATATATGAGAAAGTGTTCAACATCATTTAGTCATTCAAGAAATGCAAATTAAAACAACATTGAGATTTCATCTCACCCCAGTGAGAATGGCTAACATTAAGAAATCAACCAATAGCAAATGCTGGCAAAGCTGTGGAGAAATAGGAATTCTTCTCCACTGCTGGTGGGAATGCAGACTGGTGAAACCACTGTGGAAATCAGTTTGGAGATTCCTCAGCAAACTAGGTCTAGAGGTCCCATTCAACCCAGCTATTCCCCTTCTGGGTATTTTCCCAGAAGATCTGAAAATATCATATCACAGCGATATATGTGTACCCATGTTCATAGCAGTGCAATTTGTAATAGGTAATATTGTGCAAGTAACTCAAATGTCCATCCATTGAGGAATGGATAAAAAAACTGTGGTACTTTTATATAATGGAATATTACTCAGCTATAAGGAAAGATAAATTTGAGGCTTTTATAAGTAAATGGTCACGACTAGAGACCATACTCATAAGTGAAATAAATCAGACCTGCATGTATAAGCATCGTATTGTCTCACTAGTGTAAGACCTGAAAGAGTGAATAAAAACTAGGAGGTATGATAGACATTGTGTAATGAAGGAAAATGCTCAAAAGTAAAGGGCGACTGGGGTGTGGGAAAAGAGAAGAGAAAGAAGAGGAAGTTATGTATATATGTATATACAGGACAGCTAACATAGTTGTACTACTGTCTTCTGTTGCTCTACAGAAAGGAACAGTTGAGTACTTGTTTGATCAGTCTTGTATGTCTCTATTTGTTTTCCTGAGAAACCACTTTGAAGATATCAATAAGTAATACAACAACCACGGTTAGTTTCCTACCACTTTGTCTGTAACTCTGTTTTGTTACTATTGTTCTTGCGCTATTTTGTAAATGGATGTCTGTCTGTTAATGTTTTCCTTCTTTAATTTTTTCAAATAAAAAAACAAACAAGTGCTCCCCTCTCAGCCTTGTGTCCCTGTCCAAAAGACTGCCAGGCCTGCGGAGGCCACAGCCACTGAGACAGGACATAAACGCTCACCAGTGTAAGCGAGTCCTTGGGAGCACTGGATTGCTGCCACTCCCTGCACACCCTTCCCCTCCTTCCTGGGCTTGTGACTATTTCTGTGTGAGAAATGCTATATATTGGACCAAAATCCAGAACATAGACCTCACTTTCAGGAGTCGGTCTCAACTCTAGAAAGATTTACTCCCACTCTGTGCTGGAGCTGAGCCTTCCAATGGCCCTTCCCCTGTTCAGCCAGCCAGCGGCCTCCGCACGGGAGACAGCAAGGAACTCTTCCACCGGCTGTGAGGCTGGGCAGTGAGGCTGTTGGGCCCTGAGGTCGGGGAGGCTTCCTGTAGGTTCGCAGGTGGTCTCTCTGTCAGAAGTGTGCCGGGAAGGCAAACCCTCCTCCAATGCACCTGTCAGTGCAGCAGTGAGACGCTCCGCTCACAGAAGTGACCACGGTCCCTCTGCCCCTGGTGGCTGGCTGCTCACGGGCAGGTGCCATCCTGGGGCTCAGTGCTTACTCCTGGGGACAGTGCACTCAGCTGCATCCACAGCCAGGTCAGTGGAAGAGCCCACAGGTGACCCCACCACCTACCCCGCCACCACGGCGGCTGCTGTGCTTGGAGCCCAAAGTACGAGGATGGGGGTGGGGGGCAGCGGGAGAAGCACGTGACACCCCAGCATGTGTCGCCCTCCTCACGTGACCATCAAGCTCCTCTGCCAGCACTGACATGACGGGAGGTCCTCACTCGCGTCACCTGCCCAGAGGTGCATACCGCTCCCCTTCCCAGCGCCGCCACCCGACTCCCGACTACTGGCCAAAGCCAGCGTTTGTATGGTATACAGCTGCTCCCAGCCTCGGTGTCAGGGAGCCCTTATTACATACCACAAACAGCCGCGAGGCACGCAAAAGGTAAGCAGTGTGTCACTTCCCCAGGATGGCCGACTTCTCTAAGACTGAGGTATTCAGGCAGGATGACGCCTAGAACTACAAGAGTGTGTTAAGTTCTCCCACACACTGACTCACCACAGGAGGCACACAGATTCACCACAACTTGCAGGCAACAATAGAAGCGTGGATACTCGTGCCCAGCAACTACAATACCTAGGGTTTGGCTATAAGCTGATGCTCAGAGGAAAGCATCGGGAACACTCTGACTTTTATGGCCTCTGGGTACTTATTCACCATGTAAAAATTCATTGAGACAGTAAAAACAGATGGCATGATTCACCACATTTCTGGGGTTTTAAAACCAGACACCGTTCCTTCAGAAGAGGTATCTGACCAAGAGTTCAATTGACGGTAGGCTGTGAACACAGCCATTAAGTACAAGTTCACTTTTGCTTTTCATTTTCTGTTGATCTTTGAGTAGAACCCTCCGACTTACTATCAGACAGAAAGGACGAGGATGGGCCTGTGCTTCCCCACCTCTCCCTGAGACACGCTCAGCGCCTCCTCTCACAAAGGACAACGTTTAAAAAAAATGGTTTGTGAACTTTGACCACAAAACCAGATTCCTCAGACAAACTGAAGTAAATATCAAGGTAGCAGAGCCTGCTCCAGTCTTACATTTCAAAGTTTATTACACCTCCCAAGCAAAGCTCTTCCCCGGAGGGTCATCCGCGTCTGAATTTGCAGAGGACGACCGGCCCTGGAGAAGCCGGACTGGGGTTTGTGTGTCCTTTTCATCCTAGCAAAGCTGTTCACCGACTCAGTGCCTCAGCATTTACAAAAGAACACCAGCTCTGGCAGTCACTCCATCCACGCAGGTGCCCGCCCCAGACCGCAGCAGTGCCACCGAGCAGGGTGCCACAGTGCAGGTGCCCTCCTGCCGCACGTCCAGGGCCGGAAGGGACAGCAGCCAGGGGTCACTGTGGGAGCACGAGCTCGTAGTCGTGCTCGGGTGTGCAGGAAGCGGCAGCGGCAGCAGCAGTCCTGAGCAGGGCGTACTCCGTTTCCGACTCCTCCCGGGGTCGCCTGCCTCCCTGCTGGGCAGCCTCCACATTCTCATAGCCATGGTCAGTGGAGGTCAGCGACGGCCAGCGCAGGGCCGCGTGCTTGATGACGGTGTAGCACACGTCCTCGCAGCCATCGCCAGCCTCAGCCTGCTCCTGCCACGCACAGAGAGAAAGGAGATCGCGGCCAGAGACCACCCATAGGTCTGAGCCAGGGCCTCCGCTCACTGGCCAGGCCCACACCCGGCGCGCCAGCCCCAAGCCCAGCCTGCGCTCCCCCTGGCCCTGCGGATGGGGAGCTGAGAACCTCAGCAGCAGGCGCCCGCTGCGGGTCTGCAAGTGCAGCTGCAGTGCATGCAAGCCGACCTCAGGACAGAACTGCTCCGGTCACACAGGGGGAAAGAAAACTGAAGCAACGTATACTCATTAAATGCAGAAGTCCTCGTGACACAGTTTCACAAAGAAACAGTGTTTGTGTGTATCCCTGATGTCTACCCTGCTTGTAAATGTAACACTGGCTCCTGCAATAAGTATTGGCAGGCAGTGTGCAAAGCTAAAGGGAATTAATTGTTACGCTGTTCAGATCTAATTGTAATTTTATTTGATTTTTGCCTGTTTTTGAAATAATAGCTTTGAAAATTAAATAATTCAAGGCAGAAGAATTGGGACCACAACAACATTAACTTTCTAATCATCTAGATCAGTTGAAATACATTAAAATTGTTATTTCCTTGCACATTTGCATTAGAATACCAAATAAATTACTTAAAATACGAAGGATCCTTCTATGTGCACTCAGAAATTTCAAGTATAGGAAGACAGAGGTGACTCCCCAATAAAATTATCTGTATTTTGACATTCCTGAAGAAAATGTAAGGAAAGATAATTCGGTTTTTGGTTTGCTTGATTTTGTTGACCTTCAATTACCTGATTAGAAGTGGAGGGAAATTCTTTACCTAGAGGATAAAAAACAAAAGAATGTGAGGCTTTCGCACCACCCCAGGTTGGGGAGAGGACAGGGACGGAAGGGACGAGAGGACCACACAGGGCAGGTGTCTGGACTCCAGGCATCGATCCACCTCACTGAGGCCAGAGTGAGAGAGGGTGCTGCTCCGCCCTGGACAGCAGGAAGGGGCAGGCACCACGACTTGCTTCACAGTTCTGATCTCCAGAACTGAAGTCTACTAAATTTGCGTTTTAAGGCACTGGACTTGTGGCATAGTGACAAAGAGTGACAGCAGTGACAGCAGTGACATTTCCTCTGGGCCGCTCCTGAGATGTCTCCGGCACCCTCCCAGTGCTGCCAGTGCTCTTACAGCTGTGACCTGAGCCCCGACTCCAGCACGCACGAACCCTGAGGCGTCAGTCCCGGGAAGATGACCGTTTCCCACCCAGGGTGCTCCGACCCCGTCAGTTCCGACCCCTTTGCTGAGTTCGAGCTGCTGCTTGCTCTGTTTGGGCAGATAGTGACTACTGAATGGGGTGGATATTCTCTTTTGCTCTAAAATTTCCAGAGCATGCTTGGACCTGATTGTCCGTGTTGGTTTCAATAGACCCATGTCTTCCCGGGTAGGTACTGTTCCTGGCCTCCCTTTGATACACAACTTCCTCAGGGTGCAAGTGGAGGAGCTCGTCACCCAGGGTCAGGGGGGACTCGGCTGAGGGAGACACTTGTCGGAGGATGGGGTTCAGGGAACTGAAGTTCCCCGTGCTGTTCCCACGTGCTTCTATGTGTCCATTCCTTCCCAGTGATTTCCTTTCTCCCTATGAGATATCTATTCACCCCATGTTCTCAGCAGGGTTTAGCATGGTCACGGCATGTTTGCAGTTTTAATCTGCAATTTAACATGCTTACTTCTAAATATTTTAACTGTATCAGTCCCAAGCAGGAAGCACTTCACCTGTAATCTCTTCCTGCACTTCACACTGACATGGGGCTTTCTAAATTCTTATTGCCAGTGTTATTCTTGCATTGTGTTCAGGCTACATAACTTCATTCTTTTATGATAAATGCAAAAAGCGAGGTGTACTTACATAATAAAATCATTACATAAGGCTACACTATATATAAATTACATAGATGTATGTAGTATTCCATGTTGGAAATTAGTCCGTTGAACAAGAATTTCCAGTTTTGAAGAATGGTTAACTATTAGAAATTCTTAGCTTACTTTGCTTCGCAGAATCTATTTAACTTGTTTGAGAGTCAAAGAATAGTCTAAGAATTGCTAAGGATCACTACCAAAAATACCAGGTTGTAGGTGTCAGAGTCAAGCACTTTCCTTCTAAGTAGCGATGATGGTCACATTTCATGTTCTGTGACTTCCCTAATTCTTTTTTTTTTTTTTTTAGATGTTAGTAGATTTCAGATTATTACACACACAGATTGCTTCAGGAGTCACAGATTGAACCACTCAGAATCTGAGTATTTGCGTTTAAAGGCAAATAATCCTGTCATTGTTGTTCCTATTCTATAACGATTGTTCATCCTTAAAAATCAGATTATAGGCATGCCTTGCCGTGTGGAGACTGGCCACACATAAGGCCGAAATCCTCTGAAGAGGTATACCTGGCCCCCTGCCTCTCCCTCCGGGCAGCAGGACAGGGCTCTCTGGGAGGGTTCTGTCCCTGCACCAAGGTGGCGACAAGATACACCCTGACCACTCCCCTGCCTTGGAGACCGTGTCCTGCTGTCCCGCAGTGTGAGTGTGAAAGCCTCTCTGTTGGTCATGTCTACAGACTGCCTTCTGTGAACAGCTCCATGTCCATGTGACTGAGTAAAACCTTGCTGCTTCTTCTGATGATCAGTCGTGTACTAACAAGGTTCCTAGACCCAAGCTGAGACCCGTGTAAGAACTGAGGCTGGCAAAGGGCTCTCTGTCTCCCAGTCCCCTCGCTCCAAGCAGGTGCAGCCAGGACCACCTGCCTGTCTGGAGGGTCTAGAGGGACCCAGCTCTCAGCTTTCCAGCGCCCAGAGCTTCTGTCATTCTCAGATCACAGCTACATCTTCCATGCCAGCCACGGCCACCAGCGCTCTGGGGAATTTCCCCTGCTTTGTCCTCTTCCACCTTTTCAGGACCTTGGTCATGGCTGTTGCTCACATGGTGAATCTCCCCTCCGAAGATTCTTAACTAACCCCACCCCCCGTAGCTGCAAGGTCCCTATGTCAGCACAGGAACCCAAATCCACAGACTCCAGAAACAAACCGAACCCAGATGTCTGTTGGTGGCTTTGTTCTGCCTACCACACTTGTATTTATTCTTCTGGACAAAAACACAATCATCTGAACATGCCGGAGTATGAGAGTGTTAAAGGGAATGCACAAAGCAGCCTGCTGAAATGGCCAGGAAAACCTTTCTCCAAGCCCATGAAATACACACTGTTTTCTGAAACGCAAATCGACTTTGTAAGATCAATTGGAATTCCTGTTACGGTTTGCAAGGCATTAGCAGCTTGTGACATCTTTTCTGCTACTCAACACAGCTGTGATTGACACAAAAGTTGGTGCCAGGAATGGTTTAAGGAAATAAACACCTCAGGCTCTGAGGTCTAGGCTCCGCTGCAGGCCCTGGCTGGGTGCAGAGGTCGAGCAGATGCCATCAACATCAGACAGAGGACCCGAGTAACCACAGCACGCATGGCAAAGGCCCACGGCTGTCTGCTTGTGGGCACCTAGACCGGGCTCCAAAGACCACCAGGGCCAGAGGAAGAACGTCAGGTCTGGCTCACAGCAGAGCACAGAGCAGAGAGCCGGAAGTGGGCCCAGCTAACGCGAGGCTCAGGGACTAGGCCAAGAACCAAACTGCCCAGAAGACGTCTGCGCCGGCCTCACCCGCTCACAAGGTGCAGGACGAGCTCCCAATCTGCGCATGCGCTGTGAGTCTGCAGGCCTGGCAGGTGCGGTGCGCAGGCGCACGGGCCCGCTAGCGCAGCGCCGCCCTGGTTCCGACTTGGGCAGCTGGCTGGTCCGGAGGAAATGCCAATTCATGAATGAAAAGCGGCACTCCTCCTTACAGAAGTCAGGAAACAGTCTAGCTGACCCTCGGGGTGATGATTTTGGTTGCGTCCCCAGCTAATTTCCTTTTTTATTTTGGGGGGTGGTTTTTTTTTTTTTTTTTGGTACTGGGAATCAAACTCAGGGCGTGATGCTTGCCAGGCAGGCGCTATGTCACTGAGCTACATCCCCAGCCCTTAATTTCCTTTTTGAGACTGTGTAAAGGATGGCTGGTCACAGACTCTTGCAGCGCTCACTGGATGGCCGCTTGAGTTGCAGTAGTTGCTGCCCATGAGGTCCCTTCAGTGACCAAAGCACCTATGGTGAACACCCAGTGGGCAGCTCCTTTACACACCCAAGGTCACCAGCCCAGGGCTCCCTCACCATCATCAAAATGACAAGTGACTAATAAAATAATAAATAGAAAAGGAAACAATGAGAAAGATGCATCGTGATGGGACCCGAAAAGTTTAACACAGAAGTGCCAGGCATGGTGGCACACACCTGTAATCCAAGGTACAGGAAGGCTGAGGCAGGAGGATCACCATTTTGAGGTTGACCTTAGAAATTTATCCAGGTCCTGTCTCAAAATAAAAATATAAAAAACTCTGGGTTTGGCCCCACTACCATAGATTTAAAAAAAGAAAAGAAAAAGAGGATATGCTGAACACTTTTAAGCTTAGAGATTTCAAATTCCAACTGGAGGACAAATTTGATGGGAAATATAAAGTTGACAAAATGAAAGGGACATTACGAAGAATCTACCACTGCAAAAGTGTTTGCCTGTGTACAAAAAAGTGTTCTTCAACATACATGCCGTCCTGCAGACTGTCTCATCCAAAAATTCTACTGAAGATCAGAAGAAGAATGACCGAGCACACACAGACATTCTAGAAACTTAGGGCAGGTCACTAAGGAGCACCGTGGTTTTAGATCTGACCTGGAAAGTGCAGTGTTGGGGAGTAGGAAGCAGGCAGCCAGAAGCTGGGAACCAGAGCCAAGGGCGCTGTCAGACAGAGAAAGGAGGAAATTTCCAGGAGGAAACAGGGGCAAGGCTTGCAAGTGCAAAAGATGGGGCAATAAGATTGAGGTGGACGATTGGCCTTCCAAGGCTGATGTCAGCACTTAGCAGTGGGAAGCAGTATTTGCATTTTTAACACAACCCACAGCTAGGAGTGTACTTTATCCCCTAGGGAAGTGTGGTCTTGGATGGGTACAGGCAGCTGAGATCACTGTCACGACAATCTTATCCGTGAGGCACTCCAACTACTTCCAAACATGTTCTACTTAGGGCTTCAGTGCCATTTGGTGACATGAGTCTATTTCGCAGCCCATGGAATTTGCTCACATATGATTTGTATTTGCTAATTATACTTTGAAAAAACTAGAATGAAAGGAAGAAACCATCCTCAGGGAACGAACGGCATCCTCTTACTTGTCCATTTGCAGAAATCACACAATTACCGCGCAATCACTGCCAGGTCTCATTCCAAGGAACCCTCCATACGGCACCAAAGCTAGCAGAAGTTTGGCTCATTTCTTCCCACACAGATAATTAAATGTTGTCCAGAATAAGTCCTATAAAATACCACTGTGATACAAAAACAATGTGCTCACTTTTAAGGGACAATAGAGATTACAAACCACGTCTCTTCCCGTCTTCTTTAAAACCCTGTTGGGGGGCTGGGGATTTAGCTCAGCGGCACAGCGCCTGCCTGGCAAGCGCAATGTCGTGAGTTGGATTCCCAGTACCGGAAAACAAACAAACAAACAAAAAAAAAACCCTGTCGGGAGAACGACTGATAATTGGGACATTTAAACTTACACCTCTGTAATGTGAAGAATCTTAGGAAGCAAGGACTTACTTTTCCCATCTTGTCCTTGACTTTCTCCTTCAGATGTGGTCATTTCCTGCCTACAAGGAAAGAGACAGATGGCAGTGTGAGATACTTCTGATCCTGAAGATGTGCCTCAGGGAAGCACCGGACTGCTCCGCTCTAAGCCAGGATTCGATGCAAAAGGCCACGATCAGGCACGGCTCACCAGCCTGCCCTTAGCACTCTCCGAAAGCCCAGGAAAGCCAGGCAGGGAGGAGCTCAGGAGTCACTGGATCATAGCACCACTCCCACCCCCACACATCCAGAAGCACAGGTGTCATGTGACAGACTTCAGGACAGGTCCGGGGGAGAGGAAAGTCCTGAGTCTCTCTGTTGTTCTCTCTGAGTAGGTGGAAATCCTACAGGGGAACCCTACGCTGGAGCCTGAAATCCTCCAGATTCCCGTGCCCACCTCCCACTTCCATGAACAAGCGCAGGGCAGTGGCAGCAGAAGCAAGCGAGAGAGCATGTGAGCCCACGGGACACGAGGGCTAGGGCAGTCTGCACACACAGCACTCTCCTAAGTGTGAGGGGGACACGGGCAGCACAGGGCGTGGACTACAGTGACCTGTCCACCCTCGACGGCAGCGCACAGTGAGGAGAGCCAGGCAGAGGGAAGGAAGTGTTTGGTTTGCTCCCTGGACACAACACATGTGCAAACACACACAAACACACACACACACACACACACACAGTGTTATATCACACATGACCTGCTTCCTGTAAAAGTTACGAAAGTGAGATGGGTCACAAAAATAAACAGAAAGGAAAAACAATTTATCAAGGGAGATAAATCAGTATCTGTTCATTTAATACTAATAATAATAGGAAAAGAAAAGTAGGCTGGCCTAAATCAGGAAAATAACAGAAGGGAATGGTGAAATCTTTAGAGAAATTGAAGCAACACCAAAAGCTTCAGTCAGTAAAGTGAATTCTACTAAATATAAAGAGTGGCATTTCAGCTTCGTTGCAATGAAAATTAAGTAGCAGAAAACGAGGAGGTAGAATGGTCAGAGAAAGGACAGTAATTTTGAAAAGTAAAGGTTACATGCACACACGTAACTTCTGTGCCTAGAGATGAAACCCAAACAAATGAACGCAGTCAAAGAAATAGAAAAGAAGTGTTGAAGTGAAGATGTGAGGGGAAAGTGGATTTCTCAGCACAGGAGGGGAAGCTGCCTGGGTCCCCGAGACACGGTGCCCACAGCTGATAGCGCGCACTGTGACTTGATTTGCCAACACAGCCGACCCGCGGGGCGGGCAGGGCCAGCGGAGTTACCTGGTTAATGAGCTTGATTCTAGGAGTCATTTCACAGTGTGCACACAGATCAAAATATCACGCTATATACCTTAAATGGGTACAATTTTACTATTATTTGCACCTCAAAGTTCTGCAATTTTTAAAAATAAGGACATAGAAAAAGTAAAATTTTATGATTCTGGGGGTGGGAGGGCAGAATAAGTTATGATTCCTTGCACATCAATGAGGAAAATAAATAAAACCCAGGCACCTGTGAAGGGGCGACCATGGGCAGGCTATCAGAGTTGAATGATTGTGGGTGTGAGAGCTGCACCCAACCTGGGGTGGATAGTTTGCATATGTAAGGTAGAGGAAGAAGCTGCTTGAGGCTATCCTTTCCCATTCCGCCCTGGTGAGTGCTTGCGGGTTAGCTGTGTGCTGCCGCCCTGAGATGCAGCTCTCTGCAATGTGCCACTCTGCCTTATAATCCTGCCAAGTACGGATTAAAACTTCCACGAACTGTAAGCGAAATAAACCTTTCCCTCCTTAATTTTGGGCGTCAGGTATTTTGTCCCAGCAGCGAGAAAAAAGTAACCAAGACAGGTACTTTGGGCGGCCCGGCCCTCAGCCTGGAGAAGGAGCCAGGGAAGTCCCAAAGAAAGGGACTGGATCAGGCTGTCTGTGTTACTCCTCAAAGCAGGCGGGCCCACGGCACCTCAGAAGGAGAGAAGCAGAACCACTGCGCGAGCATGTTTGCACTCTGTAGCACGCAAAGTCGGACTCCGAAGAAGTAGAGAACAGAGAGCCCAGCTCAGCTGTCTGAGCGTGCAGGGGGGCCCGGTCTAGGCTGCACTGGGGTCATCACACGCCCTGCCCCTCCCTCTGACTCCACAGCAGGCCCAGCCGCACCCTGCAGGGAAGTCACTCCCAAGCCTCGGCAGGACTGCAGAGTCCCCAGAGTCTCCCTGGGTTTTCTGGGCCTGCGTTCCAGACAAAACTGTGCCCCCTCGAAATGCAGTGATGAAAGAAGTCTTTATCCTGGGACCTCAGAATGCGCCTGTGTGAGGACAGGGGCTTTGCAGCGGTAATAAATTTAAAACGGGGTCAGGGCGGAGGCTTCATCCAAGCCAGCCATGTCCTCACCAGGCGCAGTGATCAGGCACAGAGAGGTAACGCAGTGCAGAGGCCAAGGCAGCAGGGGCTGCAAGCCCAGTGGGAGCTCGGAGGGAGGACTCGCCCTGCCCACGCTGACTCGGACCCCAGCCTCCGGCCGGTGAAGATAAGTTCTTTCTGCTGCTGCTGCTAAAGCCACTGGGCCGTGGCACTTTGCTGTGGCCTCCAGGAAACTCGGGTTAGTAGATCGGAGGGAGCTGTACCAGGCAAGACCACACAAGAGCTCCTTCCACCCTTTGGTGTCCAGAGGGACAGCAGCGATTCCCTGCACCCTGATCCTCCCCGAGGTGCTCACACTGCAGGGCAGCTGGTCCTGAGCCTCCCTCCTCCACCTCAGGTAAAGGATGGCACCAGGGGGCACGAGAGAGTTGGGAACCCGGAGTCCAGGCGGCAGCACACCCAGACAGCTGGAATCAAGACGAAGAACGCAAAAGGAAACGTGCAGTCAACAAGAGAGCAGAAGCTGAACCTCTCTCGGTCAGAGCAAAACTGAAGAAAACAAGGACAGGAAATGTCAGGAACAGATATTAACGGAGTTTTGTAATTAGTACATTTCAAAGTTATGGCTCTGATGATGCTATATGAAGTAGGTCAGACACACAGGCTTGAATATTACATGGTTTCTCTCCTATTAGAACCCCAAAATGGAAATGATCAACAGCAAAATAAAAGACGGATGATAGGAAGCAGGGAGGTGCGCTGTCTGCAGACTGGAAGGGGCCAAGCGACAGAGAGAGCAGGGCTGTGAAAACGGTGGAGATGCGCTGTGCACACAGGCCAGCTCCCCGCAGCAGAGGAGGGTGACCGCCTTGTGCTACAGACGCGGACCAGTAGCGATTGAAAACACTGGCGATTCTAGAACAAAAGAGCAGAGAATACGTTCAAGACCGTGGGGCCTAACCACAGGCACACTGTGCTAACTGCCGTTTCTCTACCTTCACCCAGCCGGGCCCCACCGAGGCCTCACCGACCCTCCCCAACTCCACTCTCCGCTCCTATCCAGCCCTGACCACACAGCCCCCGCAGGCCGCCCCCTCCCCCGCCTCTGCTGACCAGTGAGGTCACTCACTCCCGCCTCAAGGGCCGCGTCTTTACGTCCCACATTTGAATGAGAGCATGGAACAGACGCAAGGAGCTGCTCAGAGGAAAGCTCCATCCTTACATAGTCTGCTCCTACCCAGGAAACTGAAGAAAACGATCTGCATCCACTCACAATAGGCACAAATAGGAAAAAAAAACTAAGGAGAGGAAAAACGAGAATTCAGTGACGATAAAGCAGGCATCTTATGGCATCTTGCAGAAGAGCAAAACAGAAATTAGACCAGTTATTGAGGGCCGGGAGTGATGCAAATTGTGCCTGTCTTGAATGTGGTGGGTGCATGACGGACGAGGTGCGATTTCTACACTCGGAAATTGGATGCATAGGAAGGATGAATTTCACTATATTGCAAATCTGCAGACTTGCATTTAAAGGTTCCATGAGTTGAAAGAGTCCTACTGCCCTTATTGTAAAGTTACAAATTGAAAAAATGATATTCTAGTAAAAAATATGATAGTCAAAGTTGACTCAGGAAGATATAAAAAGTGAGTCTTTACTCAAAGAGTACCATCCAGTGAAGCAGTGGGAAGAAAGCTGCGTCTGCCCCTGCACAGGAAGACGGGCCTCTCTGACCAGCGCAGTAAAGCTGGCCAGCTCTTCCCACCTGGACGCGGGTCAGCACCTAAGTCTGTCTCACGGATCCCCCTGGAAGATGTGCTTCCATTTAGCATGTCTGTTCGTCGTGAAGACTTTCCGGTATCTGAAAATGTTAACACTTTAGTTTCTTTGGCAAGAATTTTGAGACTAACAGCTAATACAGATCTCCCTTCCTTTTTGATTACTGGTTTACTTATTTATTGCTGGAGCTGGGGCGGAACGCAGGGCTCACGCTTGCAGGGCAAGTGCTCCGGCTGGAGCTGCTTCTCCAGCCCCAGTTCTCACTTCGACCTGAAAACACAGAAACCTCGTGCAATTCCTAGATCTTAGCTAATTAAAAATCTCATTTAAATGCTAAATTAAAAGCCCACTTTAAATGACTGAATACAGAACCCACTCTGGTAGTGTAAGAAAAGGTCTGGAGTCCGTCACATCCTCAGGACCTTGCTATTTCCTCTCCAGCTACAAACCATGAAGGGTCTGCACAGGGCCCCAGGACGAGCATAGCACTGCTCTCTTGCTACAAGTCAGCCAGCTGCTGTCTGCTACACAGAGGGGAGGACGGAGGTAAACTCCTGTGAGAAACCCATGCCTGCAGACACAGTTCTGGTCCCGAGCAACACTGGGCCCTGCCCTGAGCACTCCAGCCCCGGAGACCATGGAGAGAAGCAGGGACCATGTCAGAGACAGAAACCCATACCAGCTGGGCAGGAGGCATACACCACTCCGGGAGGCTGAGGCAGGAAGAGTGCAAAATCTAGCTCAGTCTGGGCAAATTAGTAATTTAGCCAGACCCTGTCTCAAAATAAAAAATAAAATAAGCAAATAAAAAGGACTGGGGATAGAGCTCAGTGTGCAGGCTCGGGGCTCAATCCCTGGCAGAGAAAAAGAAGAGAGGGGAGGGGAGGGGAGGGAAGGAAAATAGAGGAGGAGGCAGGGGGAAGGGAGGGGAGGGGAGCAGAGAGGAAGGAAGCAGAGGAACGGAGAGTGAAGGGGAGGAGGAAAAGAAACCCAGAGCCTGAGATGGGAGATTAGAGGAGGCCGAGTGCGGTTCTGAGAAGCTCCGGTTAGCAAACGCAGCAGGGTGTTTCTGTTCATCTCGGGGGTGAGATCCAAGGTCCAGATATCTGCTATCTCGTGCTCCTTTTTCTTCTTTTTTCCACTGAGTGCCCTTGAGGGCTGGGCATCAGATAGAGGCTAGCGGGTCACACAGACGCAGTGAGCTCTTTCCGGCGGTGCACATGTCCGGGGAGACTGAGGGATGACCTGCAGAGCTGCACTGAGACCCAGGCCAGTGCAAATGCAAATGCAAGAAGGAGCAGCAGCAGGAAGCCTTGGTGTGGAAGCGAAGCCCCTCCGTGGCCCAGCCGGAGGTGTCCAAGGACAGCAGGAAAGGCAGCCTCTCCGGAGGGTTGCCGCCCCTCAGTCCAGGCACAGGAAAGGGCTGTGGACAGAGACAGCAGCGCGTCCCAGGGTCCTGCAGCCCCGACCCGGGGGCAGAAGAGCCCAGGAGGAGAGTGGGGGCGGGGGGCGCAGGGGGAGAGCCGTGGAGGACCAGTGCTTCCCAGGTTGTGGGTCCTGGGGAAGAGCTCAGGTTTCATTCCCGTGCAGCGGGAAACAGCAGAAAGGTCTTAAGCAAGGAAAAGGTGCTGGAGGCTAAGTGCTTGCAGGCGGAGTCTGGACACAGATCCCAGCAGAACGTCCTCTTACCGTCTCCTTTTCACGCCTCGATTCCCCTTCCTGTTCTTCCTCGGATTCTTTCCCACACAACTGGATGGGAAGACAGAGACGTTATCACCACGCGACAAACTTTGCATCCCCCCACCTAAGTTTCCCAACCAGGAAAATCTTTCCTTCACCACATTTGGCTGGGTCTTTCACTTAGGAGCAACAACGTTTTTTGAGTTCTTTATATGTTCTACATAGTAGTCTGAGACCATAATTATGTGCAATGAATCAGACACACGAGCTTGAATATCACATGGTTTCTCTTATATGAGAAATCCAAAGGATAAATGAAGAGGAAAATAAAAGACAGGTTAGGAACCAAAGAGATGTATCGTTCTCAAGAGACAGAGGGGAGGGGAGGAGAGGGGAGGGAAGAGCATTGAGAAGTGTTGTGTTAAGTGCTGACTCCACACCAGGGGTGTACATACTATCTACTACAAACATGTGCTAATAAATAAGTGAAAAATGTCTTCTCTCAGTGCCTAACTCTGCTTTCTCTCACCATGGACAAATACTTGTGAGTACACACGTCAGAGATTAGCCTCAGAGACCGATCTTCCATCCCCCAAAGGCCGTGGTCAAACCTTTGACCCTCTCAGTCTTGTATTGATCAACAGAGAGGCCCCGGGGTTGCACTTTGATTCTCAGAGATGGAAGTTTTTGAATTTCAGAAGAGGTGCGAGGTCCTGGTGAGGTGAGGGGTCCTGGTGAGGTGAGGGGTCCTGGTGAGGTGAGGGGTCCTGGTGAGGTGAGGGGTCCTGGTGAGGTGAGGACCAGGGGCAGCGTGGAGCCCCGGGGTTGCACAGGACCCAGCCGTGGGGGCTGTGAGGACTCTGCTGCGCAGGGCACCGTGCGCCTCTTCAGACCTCTGCTGTCTTTTGCATATTACTCTTGATCGCCCATCAGTTAGTCATTGGTCTGATAACCAGGCCAACATAAATGATGAGTTTGAGGTCAGACAAATCGCGTGATGCTGGTTGTCAGTGACTCACTACCCCATGTGACTCAGTTACTCACCTCCCTCCCGGACTAGTTGTCCAAACAGCGTTTCTCTGAATGGTGTTAAGTTTTGCCTGATGTACAACCGGCACTAATATGTAATCATGACACCCAGATGTGACCATGGCTGTGAAGAGGATACGAAAATCTCTGAGGCAGCCACTGCACAAAGAAAGGCATTCCTCCTTCCATACCCCTGATGCTAGCCTGTCTCCCCACTTCTATACATGTCGGCATGCAGCAGATTTCAAACTCTGAACCTCAGTCCTGCTTTCTGGAAGTTCTCGGGAAGACATTTCCTCAGCGTTGATCAGGACTCCACTCTCCAATCTTCTGTCCCCTTCTCCAACTTTTCCAAACATTAACACTTTTTTGAAAGCCACAAACAAAACTCAGCATCACTTTCATAGATGTAAAGGCCCTGAAGAAACTAGGTATTAAAGATCATTCCTCAAAATAGTAAAGGCCACAATCCCATATTGTTTTATACAATAAACCCACAGCAATGCCATGAGTGGGGAAAATGTGAAACTGTTTCCTCTAAAGTCAGGAACAAGCCAAGGCTCTCCAAATGGTTGCTGAAAGTTTAGCTACAGCAATCAGATGAAAGGAAGAAACAAAAGAGATACAAATAGGAAGGGACAAAGTCAAATTATCCTTGTTGACAGCTGATAAAATCCTACATTTAGAGGGCTTTACAGACTTCACCCAAGACTTTTAGAACTGATAAAGAATTCAGCAAATTAGCAGGATGTACAATCAACATTAAAAATTAATATCTTTCCTATATACCAGTAATGGTCTAGCTGAGAAAGAAATTAGAAACAATCCCACTCACAGTAGTCCCCCACCCCAAAAAAGAAACCAAAAACACCTAGTGGTCAATCTACCCAAGGAGGTGAGGGGCTTTACAGTGAAAATTA